GCATAAAGCAGTATGTGGCTGCTGATACAGGATGGGAGGTCGTTGATGAACAAATTGAACAGCAGGGGCCCGAGGATGGATCCCTGGGGCACCCCGGTCGTTGCAGCCAGAGCGCTGGAGAGTGCGCCGTTTACACGAACTCGGTAGGTGCGGCCAGACAGGTAGGTACTTAGCCAGCAGCTTGTTTGCCGGTCGATCCCCAAACTCGGCAGTTTACTCAACAGCAGTACGTGATTGAGCCGGTCGAATGCTTTTGAGAAATCCACGTAAACCACGTCAGTTGGAGTATGATTGTCTGCCTCTGCAGTCCAGGAATCAAGGGCTGCGAGAAGATTCGTGGCGCAAGAGTGAGCCCTGCGGAACCCGTGCTGTTCCGGGGCTATTAAGGACAGACTTTCTAAATGGCAGCGCAAGAAAGCGTCTATGATACTCTCCATTACTTTGGAGGCAGTGGGGAAGCAGTGCTATCGGGCGATAATTAGAGGGGTTTGTCCTGCCACCACATTGTATATCGGCGTTATGACCCGTTGCGTCCAAGCATTCGGGTATTCGGCACTGGTGTAGGAGCGGCCGTACAGTAAGGCAAGCGGCTCGGCCAATTCCGTAGCGCACCCTCGTAGAAAAATGAGTGGGATCCCATCCAAACCCGGCGATTTGTCTGTCCTTAAATTTTTTAATTTCTCCAGGACTTCTTCTGATGTAAACTGCACGGGATGTCTGGCAGCGATGGGGGTAAAGTTAGCGCCTTCCGTTGTACTGCGTTGAAGGTGCCCGAAAACGGACTGGTACTGAGTCTTCAGCAATTCCGCAGCTTCTTTGTCCCGACGTTGTGGTATTGCCTACGGGTCTGAGCAGGCTGCCAACGGCAGCGCGCGAATTTAGTGAGAGACGCTATATGCCTAAAGAAGACTTTGGGGTTATCGGTGAAGCTTTTAGCGAGAGAGAGCTGGTACGCTTTTCTGTCCTGGCGAACAGCTGCTATACAGGAATTTCGCACTCAACAGTATTGTGCTCGCGAATCAGAGTCGCCAAAGGTAAGAATCTGTCCCAGAGGGCCTTCTCCCTGATCAGCCTAAGCGTAGCAGGCTGAAGTTGTCTGTGGCGTTTCGGCGCATAAGCGCGCACTGTGGGGACGTGTGCCCTAATTGCGTCGTGGATGTGAGCGGCGATGTAGTTCCAATGGTCGTCGACTGTGGGGGTTTGTACTGCCAGGGACCATTGAACGATGCAAAACGGGGAAACTGTTATGGTTAATCAAGTTCCAACTGTGAACGAAAAACAAAGTAACTGAGGTTTTATCATGCAAAGTCCAATAAGCAACCAAGGGGTATTGATTGGCGGTTTTGGGGTCCATCAGTGAGGGTAATCTCCAGATAGGTTGAACCAGTTAATTTGTCCATTACATTTATGGTGTACGAGGAAAGAGGCGTTTGTGTTAGTACTGCATAGAAAGCCCATTAGTGGTTCAAATGATCGCTCTTCTCTAACCCGATTTCTTTTTTATTTTTCAGCCGCCACGATTATTTCTGACAAGGTTACATGCAATACCGGTCAAAACGGGAGTGAACACGGGATGTTTCATGATTTCCTTGTGCATTTGCGCATTTGATCTGACAAAGCTCAATGTCATTGATACATTATGGCGCATAGGAGGAAAACACCTTTTGACGTTTTACGAGAACTTACAGCTATTGATTATAATAATTTTGGAGATAATGAGGAAGTCATTTTCCAGGAGTCAGCAGATGATCACAGCACTCCTGGTAGTCAAAATTCTGACAGTGATAATCCTCTTGAGGACAATAATGAGAGTTTTTCAGTCGATTTTACATCTTCCAGTGAATTTCAAATATCGACAGATAGTATATGGTGGATCACAATGAAGTTCCAGCCAAGTACTCTTGGTAAGATGCCATCATAGTTTATCTTCAAGGCTAGACTAGGGCCAACTCTCTGCGCTAAGAAATGTGTACAGACCTCTCAAGCTGTTCTGACAAAATAATCACGTCCCAGATGCTTAAACAGATTAAATATGTACTGATGCTGAAGCCAATAATGTTTTAGGTGTCAGCTGTCAGCGGAACATAAGTATTCCTGAGCTGCGTGCATTTATTGGGCCACTTTACATCGGCGACTTCATGGGTTTGGAGAATATGCCATTGAATATGCTGTGGTACGATAAATACATACGGCCTATTTTCAGGGAGACGACTGGCAAGAACAGATTCAAATAAATAATGTGGTTCCCTCGTTTTGATGTGCGAACTACCAGAAGTGAAAAACTATGACAAGTTTTCATATCTGCAGCATTGAGAGAAATACTCTCCAAGAAAAATACAAATATGGTGGAAACTATTCCAGCTAATAGAAAGGATGTGTCAAGAAATTCAAAGCAGTAGTAGAGATTTATTCATTTCACTTATTATGACGAACACAAATAAGCACACATTAACATCCTGCCAGCGTATAAAAATAAAAATGTTGTTTTTCAGTTCCTTGCACAGTAACTCTTCCATTCAAGACTCTGAAAAGAGCCCGAGACTGTATTGTTTTACAAGTACACGAAGTATGGGCTAGGTGTACTCGACCAAATGGCAAGAGCACTCACTGTCAAGTCATCTTCTCGACAGTGACTACTCCAAGTATCTTACAACGTGCTGCATTTGGCTGGCATTAAACCCTAGATAATTCCTAATAGTATCTTCGGAAATAAACTATCTTACTGGTCATATTTGATGGGTCGTACGTAAGAACTGTGAGGATCCATACATCCTACAAGCTACGTAACAACTGGACTTCCGTCGAATAATTCAGCCCAGTTGGGAAGTCGTGAGACAAGTAAACGTCGATGGTATCCGACTGGTTGCTGTATAGGCAACAAGTCAAAGAGCAAGTGTTCTGAAAGCGAAGAATTGTCGCTCATGTGGACAGATTGAGAGAGTTAGCACCAGTTTCAAAAGTTAATCTGAATGAGAATGTACAATTATTTACAATTTCTGAAAGACATTGAAGTTTCATGCAATGAGTTTTCCGTTACAAATTTGTCCCACACATTGTTTTTAATGAATATATTGAGCAATTGGATATATTTGGGTGTTGCTGTCCCCAACCGTGGCACACTGCGACCGCGGTTTCGTCTTGGTTTAGACTCCTCATGGGGAGATAGCCTGAGCTGGGGTGGAACTCAGAGCTTAGTAGTTCATGGCTGACGCCCTGAACACTACGCTACTGAGATCCGCGACCAACGCTTGGCACAGCGGAACGTAATTCAAAGCTAAATTTATGGAGCACGCTGTGTGGTTTAATTGCGACCAGCAACCTCTATTGAGACCTCGGCTCACTATGAGGTAAA